GAGTGGGAACCGCTATACCGAAGGTACTTGCTTCCAGGTACAGCTGCTGGCGTTTACCCAGGAAAGCTCCTACTTTGCATATTTATGAAGCTGCTTTATGTTGGAGAAGAAATGGTTTGAGGCTGCATTTTTGTTTTTGTTTTTGTTTTTGTTTTTTTTTGAGACGGAGTTTCGCTCTTGTTACCCAGGCTGGAGTGCAATGGCGCGATCTCGGCTCACCGCAACCTCTGCCTCCTGGGCTCAGGCAATTCTCCTGCCTCAGCCTCCTGAGTAGCTGGGATTACAGGCACACGCCACCATGCCCAGCTAATTTTTTTTGTATTTTTAGTAGAGATGGGGTTTCACCATGTTGACCAGGGTGGTCTCGATCTCTTGACCTCGTGATCCACCTGCCTCGGCCTCCCAAAGTGCTGGGATTACAGGCTTGAGCCACCGCGCCCGGCCTGAGAAATTTTATACTTTTTAGCTGTCTAGAAAGAATTTCTTTTTTTTTTTTTTTTTTGGACAGAGTTTCGCTCGTTACCCAGGCTGGAGTGCAATGGCACGATCTCGGCTCACCGCAACCTCCGCCTCCTGGGTTCAGGCAATTCTCCTGCCTCAGCCTCCTGAGTAGCTGGGATTACAGGCACACGCCACCATGCCCAGCTAATTTTTTTTGTATTTTTAGTAGAGATGGGGTTTCACCATGTTGACCAGGGTGGTCTCGATCTCTTGACCTCGTGATCCACCCGCCTCGGCCTCCCAAAGTGCTGGGATTACAGGCTTGAGCCACCGCGCCCGGCCTAGAAAGAATTTCTTAATAATTCCTGTATTATATCCCCCGTCAGGAGACATAACCCTAACTGCTGTTAATGGGTGTTGGATGAGAATTCTTTCTGCTTCCTGCTGAAAGGGGACATTATGTTGGGGGGACAGCGGTTGAGACTCCTCCTGACTTTGTTCTAAGAGTTCTTGAAAGAATGGCATGTTCGAGTGTGCCTCTGTTTGCATCACCATTTGGAGTTTGAGTGCTTCTGGGCAAAAATAGTAAATTTTACAAGGTTTACAATATAGAGTTAGTATATGAGTATTAAGATTACCACTGTTAGTGGGGAGTACTGTAGACCTTAACTATGACAATAGAGTTTGACACCTGTTAGTTACCCCAATGAATTGTAATACTGGTTTACCTCCACTACATGTCACTGTATACTACCAGAAATGTTAATATAAAAGTAACTCTTGCAGGCCTATAGAGAATAATCCTCTGGAAGTAGAAAAGCAACTTCCTTAGCCAGGCGCGGTGGCTCAAGCCTGTAATCCCAGCACTTTGGGAGGCTGAGGCGGGTGGATCACGAGGTCAAGAGATCGAGACCATCCAGATCAACATGGTGAAACCCCGTCTCTACTAAAAATACAAAAAATTAGCTGGGCATGGTGGCACATGCCTGTAATCCCAGCTACTCAGGAGGCTGAGGCAGGAGAATTGCCTAAACCCAGGAGACGGAGGTTGCGATGAGCCGAGATCGCGCCATTGCACTCCAGCCTGGGTAACAAGAGCGAAACTCCGTCTCAAAAAAAAAAAAAAAAAAAAAAAAAGAAAGAAAAGCAACTTCCAGGGGATCCATCTGAGAAGCAAAAAAAAAAAAAAAAAAAAAAAATTAAGATACCTTCTCAGGGTCACACAACTCTTGGCAGAAACTTAACACCCTATACCTTGATCCCTTGAGCCTGTTCTTTCTTCTTCACCACCATTCCGCCTCAGTGGGCTGGGGAAGCCTGGGGTGACACCTGACAAAGATTTTTTCTTCAACAAAACTCTAGCCAGGCCCCTCTGAGCCTTCTTGAATGGGCCTGTGAGCTGTGGCCTATTAAGACTTGAGCAACACTAAGGCCGGGCGCGGTGGCTCAAGCCTGTAATCCCAGCACTTTGGGAGGCCGAGGCGGGTGGATCACAAGGTCGAGAGATCGAGACCAACCTGGTCAACATGGTGAAACCCCGTCTCTACTAAAAATACAAAAAATTAGCTGGGCATGGTGGCGTGTGCCTATAATCCCACCTACTTGGGAGGCTGAGGCAGGAGAATTGCCTGAACCCAGGAGGCGGAGGTTGCGGTGAGCCGAGATCGCGCCATTGCACTCCAGCCTGGGTAACAAGAGCGAAACTCCGTCTCAAAAAAAAAAAAAAAAAAAGACTTGAGCAACACTAACAATTTCTAATAACTTTTGAAGTGCCAACCCAAAAAACTCAAGACTGCCCAAAGAATTTCTTCCAGCCAACACCTGAAGATAAGGCCCATCTCCCAGCCTCTGCGGGAGGATAGGAGCCTAACTCAAAGTGCCAGTAACAAACCCAGATAAACCAACCCCCTCCCTTCCTGTGTTTTGCAATTTTTCACTTTTCTGACTCTGAGTCCCTACTTACCACCCCTCCCTATTTCCTCACCCTCCCTTTAACATACTCATTCACCTTTGTACATATCAAAGCTGAGTTCAGTTCATGCCAAATTCCTTTCCCCATTGCAATAGCTATCACCAATTAACTCTGTTCTCACCACTGTCATTAATGTCCAGCTTTGTTCATCTTTGATACACCTAGTGAACTTTGCAAGGTGGGCAGGCCTCCCTCGGCAGGTAAGCGTGGTAATAAATGAGCTACGTGACATTCCAGGCAGAAGAAATGCCATGGCCAAAGGAAATGTTTTTTGTTCAAGGAGGCAAGAGAGGCTGTACGGTTGCCAAGAGAAACCCCAGTTTTCTGAGATCTGTCCTAGGAAGGCAATATTGTATGGCTTTTTACTGAATGTTCAAAGGTAGCCTATATTCCTAAGATGTATGACTCTGAGAAACGTGCTAGAGCTGCCTGAGTCTCAGGTCACTAGCATGAATATGATTATGGCATTTACCTTACAGTATGTGGGAAAAATCACTGAAACCAGGAAAAGCACAGCAACAAACTTCCAAGCACAGGCACTTTGTTGCTTGCGTTATAAATCTTTTAATTCTCTCAACCACCTGGGAAGATGGGAATTATTTTTGCTTTGATGGAAAAATCAGGAAAGCAAGTGACTTCCCCCAAGTTTATAGAGTAAGCCAAAGTCCCAATAGGCTGAATTCACACCTAGGAATTTGGGTCCACAACTGAGAACAGTTAATTGTTTGAAAGCAGCACACAGTGCAGACACAAGGCTCAGTTGCTGATGCTATTAACAATATTGTATTATGATCATTATAATTTTTCCCTATTATCTCTAATGCCAGAGTGCTTACACTCTGCACCCCTCAGGCCATACAGCCTTGTCATTGTCTTGTATCTTGCATCAATTACTTCTGCACATAAATCTTTTTTCTCTAATACAATTGCAATTTGTTTAAAGCAGCAAAGAATGAAGCTCCCAGGAAGTGCTCAGTGATATGTGCCTTGGTTCTTTCTAGATGTTTACCAACAACTGAGCTCTAATCCCATCTGACTGGCCCAAGACTAACAGGGAAACTGACTTACAAGGCATCAGTGACCTTCAAAGACAGGCTGTAACCTCCAATCAAGAAGAGGAGGGCAGTGGCACCCAGCACAAGGGACTCTGTACTGAGACATGACACTAAAGACCTGTAGGCTTCTGGTGTCAATGCATAATGCCCCCCTTTCCTCCATGTGGAAGCCTGACACCTCCTTCACTCGGCCCCTTTTCCAACTCTGTAAAGCACCCTCCTTCCTTCTCATAGACCTGCTGTGTTCTTGTCTCATCTCCTACCTGGTTTCTTTCACTTCAGATTATTTTGGGCAAGAAATATACACTCCCTCAAAATAGCTCAGATACTAAAGGATTTGTTGGAAGGCAACAGGGGTCTTTCGTAAGAACAAGAGCAACCAGTGATTAGATGGGAATCTGAGACCAAAGCGATGAAGCAACCATGAGAAGACGATGATGGAATCAGCAGCTAATACTTATTGAATGCTACTGAGGCCAGGCATTGTAGTAAACACTTTGTGTCTATAACTCAGTTTTCATAATAATGCTGTGAAATAGGTTTATTACCATTTTAGATGGAGAAACTGAGGCATGACACAGTGAAATGGTTTGTCCCAGGTCACACAAAGCCAGTATACATGAAACCTAGATCTAAACCCAGGTAAAATGACTCCAAAGCTAAACCCTCTTCACACACACACCTTGGAGCTCTTAAAAGGTAGGGAGTGTTTCTTTTCTACTAGGCCTACAGTGGATGCTCAAGAAATGGCTAATAGATATGACTGAGGAAATATGTCATCTGTGACATCATAAGATCATTATTACATTCTGGACAGTGTTAGTGTCACCTAAGAACATGTGAAAATGCAAATTCAAATCAACTCATACAGAAACTCTAGGATTGAGGCTTAGCGATCTGTGCTTTAACAGGCCCTCTCAGTGATTTTGACACACGACTAGAGCTCAGAACTACTGGATCCCTATATCCCATCCCTGTGTAATATACATGAGTGATGCTCAGTAGATTTTCTTGAAACGTAGCCCACTGAAAATGCCCTCAGAATAATCCTCACCAAAATACTGCTATTCTTAGTACAAAGAGCAGGTCATTTTTCTCTAGTTTTGCTAGTCTCCCACTAAAGGCTATACTAAGGCTAATCTTAGTTAAAAAAAATAAAATTTATTTTCTGCCAGAAACAGTCATAGAGAAAGGGTACATGATATACAAAATGATTTTATTAGATACCAAAACTTTTATTCACACCATTTTATTTCTTTTCTTTTTTTCTTTATTTGAGACAGAGTTTCGCTCTTGTTACCCAGGCTGGAGTGCAATGGCTCGATCTTGGCTCACCGCAACCTCCGCCTCCTGGGTTCAGGCAATTCTCCTGCCTCAGCCTCCTGAGTAGCTGGGATTACAGGCATGCACCACCATGCCCAGCTAATTTTTTGTATTTTTAGTAGAGATGGGGTTTTACCGTGTTAACCAGGATGGTCTGGACCTCTTGACCTCGTGATCCACCCGCCTCGGCCTCCCAAAGTGCTGGGATTACAGGTGTGAGCCACCACGCCCGGCCGACCATTTTATTTCTTCTGCAGCTTTAATTTTTAACACTTAGTGGCTCCTCTGGATAACTAAATATCTTCACATGCCCACTAGCTAAAAAGAATTTCTAAGTAGAAGTCAAGTAAAACTGCAAACTACTGCTGTAAGAAATGCACACTTAATTATGTTTATTTGCTCTCCTATAGAATTCTGTTTACAAATAGCATCACTGCAGAGATTTACATGTCATTCCTAAATCACCCAGGTTGTTCTACCATTCATGTAATGTCTAGCAAGATAAACACTCTTAGTGAACACTTTCCTACATCTCTTATGAGATTTCTCTCCAGGGATGCTCTTGAAACTGAGGACTTCCCTCAATTTCTAAATTTTCTACATTCACACAGCTTCTCTCCTGTAGGAGTTTATAGGAGATTCCTATTGCCTACAGTCTTTTCTGTATTTGCTACATGTACATGGTTTTTTCCTAGTATGAGTATACTTATATCAAGGGATTAATACTGACACACACTTTCCCACATTTATGGTCTTCATATGATTTCCCTACAGTATAAACAAAAGGGTCTGCATCATTGCTAAAAGACTTCCCATATTCACTACATTCATACAACTTTTCCCCAGTATAAATTTTCCTGATGTTAAATAAGGGAGGCTCTATGAATGAAATTTACAATGACAAATTCTGCTTCATGTAGTTTCTCTTCTGTAAGATTTCTCGCATGTATAGTGATTCACATGGTCTAAAGGTTTTTCCACACTTACCACACTACTGGGTTTCTCTCCATCATGTATTCTTTGATGGGCAGTACAATTTGAGACTTTGCTAAAAGCTTTCCCACACTCACTACATTTATATGGTCTTTCTCCAGTATGAACTCTCTGATGGACAGTAAGGTTTGAACTACAATTGAAGGTCTTCCTACATTTAACACATTCATAAGGTTTCTCTCCAGTATGAATTCTGTGATGTTGAAGCAGGGATGACCTGTGACTGAAGGCTTTCCCACATATACTGCATTCATAAGGTTTCAATCTAATGTGATTTCTCAAATGCATATTCAGTGATTCAAGCTGGTTAAAGGATTTCCTGCATTTCTGACATTCAAAGGGTTTTTCCTCAGTGTGAATACTCTGATGCTGAACAAGAAATGAGAGGCTACTAAAGACTTTTAGACATTTGTTACATTCATAGTTTTTCTTCATAGTGTGAATTTTTTGATGTTGAGTAAGGTGTGAGCTACAGCAGAAAGCTTTCCCACATTCACTACATTCATAAGGCTTCTCTCCAGTATGGCTTTTCTGATGGTGACTGAGAGATGAACTATGAATGAAAGCCTTTCCACATATACGACACTCATAGCGTTTTTCTCGTGTATGAATTCTTAGATGTTGAACGAGAAGGGAAACACGACTAAAAGACTTTCCACAGTTCGTACATTCATATGGTTTCTCTCCGGTGTGAGTGCTCTGATGGTTCGTAAGTGATGAAACATGGCTAAAGGCCTTCCCACATTCAATACATTTGTAAGGTTTCTCTCCACTATGGCTTATCTGATGTCGTGTAAGAGATGAGCCATGGCTAAAAGTCTTCCCACATTCACGACATTCATAGGGCTTCTCTCCTGTATGAATTCTCCAGTGGCGATTAAGGATTGACTGTTTGCCAAAGGCTTTCCCACATTCGCTGCATGTATAAATTTTCTCTCTATCACAAGTCTGGGAAAGGGTAAGAGATCTGCTCTGGTTGAAGGCTGCCCCACTTTCATTAGAATTCAAAAGTTTCTTTACACCACTGATTTTCTCATTTTTTACAACTGATTTTTTTGGTAAATTCTTCTTTAATATATATTTGTGTGAATTCCCTTCAGCAGATTTTTTTTGTGGTTCAGAAATGGTAACCTTTGAAGAAAAGGTGCTTCTAAATGTGTTGCATTCTATGTATTCCAAATTCTTCGTAGAATTTGAAAATTCATAACCTTGTTTTACAGCTTTTTTTATTATTACTGTTTGGGACGAATCTTCATCATAAAGATCCTTCTTTGATGATAATTCCTTGTTTGTCCATCTTGATTCCCAATCTGAAATATATCAAAAAAGCAAAGAAATACTTTTTTTTTTTTTTTTGAGACGGAGTTTCGCTCTTGTTGCCCAGGCTGGAGTGCAATGGCGTGATCTCGGCTCACCGCAAACTCCGCCTCCTGGGTTCAGGCAGTTCTCCTGCCTCAGCCTCCTGAGTAGCTGGGATTACAGGCACACGCCACCATGCCCAGCTAATTTTTAGTATTTTTTTTTTAGTAGAGACGGGGTTTCACCACATTGACCAGGATGGTCTCGATCTCTTGACCTCGTGATCCACCCGCCTCGGCCTCCCAAAGTGCTGGGATTACAGGCTTGAGCCACCGCGCCCGGCCAGAAATACTTTTTTTTTTTCTTTTACTTCTTCAAAAGAAACTTCTACAGTGGAATTAGGAGAACTGGATAGGAAATGAAGCCACCAGAAAACACAAAGCTCTGACAACTCAAATATTTCAGTGACTTCTGAACAATGCTCAAATGGTGCCGAGAATACAAAGTTCACAGAAGCAGGAACAGAGTGTGATAACAGAAAATTGTAAAATATAGGAAGTGGATAAAATAATATGCAAAAAAAGAAGACAATGAGAAATAAAATGTGGAAGGCATTCTGGATTTCAAGCCATAATTTTGTGCCTATATGGATGAATAAATTCACTCAGACATAGATTTTCAGTGAAAGAGCGAGCTGGGGTAAGTGGGCTGTTTACCTAAAGTAGTTAATGACTGCCTTTCCAACTCACTGGACTTGCAGGCTTTTATTTTGTATAGATCAAAGGACAAGGGTCTGTAGATAAACACCATTAGAGGGTAATTAACTTCTGCTGACCAATCCCAAAAAAGGCAGTTATGCATGCATGGATGATCAAAGGTTTGCTAATGAAAGTGGGGGTACAGATTTATCTGGGGAATCCTCTTTATAATTCCTAGTATTTATTCTAGGTTCTAATGCCCTGGGGTAAGAATCAACAGCCTTCGGCCCATTCCCTTATTTGAAGCTTTCTAAACCCTCTGGCCTTTCAAGGGGATCTTGTGACTGTTTCCTGTAACTATCTCTAATACTGTTCCCTTAATATTTTGCCACCACCCTGACTGAACTATCACACCTATATTCATGTGTGAAAGATTGCATTTTGTCCCATATCCTTTTTCTCCAACCTTCAGTTAATCTCAATTTGCCGCCAGATTATCATGTTTAAAATACAGAATTGATAGTACTACATTAAACAATTACAGTAAAAACAAAGCAATCCAAACATTCTTTATAGCTGACAAAGATTTGGGTTTTCTGAGGTTATGAAGAAACTATGTAAATCACATTATTTATTGGATATGAGAAAATATTATTCCTGGCTGGGCACAGTGGCTCCTCGTGCCTGTAATCCCAGCACTTTGGAAGGCGGGTAGATCACGAGGTCAGGTGTTCGAAACCAGCGAGACCAACACGGTAAAACCCTGTCTCTACTAAAAAAAAAAAAAAGGAGCCAAGCATGGTGGTGCACACCTATAATCCCAGCTACTCAGGAGGCTAAGGCAGGAGAATTGCTTGAACCCAGAGGCGGAGGTTGCAGTGAGCTAGAATCATGCCATTGCACTCCAGCCTAGGTGACAGAATGAGACTCCATCTCAAACAAAAGAAAATATTATTCCTAGAAACGTATTTTAATATGTTCCTTACTTCCTCTATTATGTTTATATTTCATCTACAAAGCTCAGCTTTAGAAAAGTGATTTTCCGCCTAAGTGACAGCTTTTCTTTTTTTCTTTCTTTTTTCCCCGAGATGGAGTTTCGCTCTTGTTACCCAGGCTGGAGTGCAATGGCGCAATCTCAGCTCACCGCAACCTCCGTCTCCTGGGTTCAGGCAATTCTCCTGCCTCAGACTCCTGAGTAACTGGGATTACAGGCATGCGCCACCATGCCCAGCTAATATTTTATATTTTTAGTAGAGACAGGGTTTCACCATGTTGACCAGGATGGTCTCGATCTCTTGACCTCGTGATCCACCCGCCTCGGCCTCCCAAAGCGCTGGGACTACAGGCTTGAGTCACCGCACCCAGCCAGTGACAGCTTTTCTTAGCTTAAAACTATTAGAATGTTTTATCTTAAGTAGATTTAAGAAGGAATAAGTTGCCTTACTTTGTCTGAATAGAGTAACAATTTGAATTATTGTGATGGCAAAAACCTCTAACCTTGATTAGATGATATGAGTGGTACAGATAATAATTTGGGAGGCAGGAACAACTGTTTGGAAAATCTAAGCTAAATACCCCTCAATTTTCATTGATATCCGAGATCTTTGAAGACAGTATCCCTAAAATGCCTCCGCACTCTCTATAACCATCTTTAACAAGCTTCCCTTGTCTCGTTCACCATGACTCACCTGGAGTCACACCTTTGGACAGTTTTTCCTCCACCATCCAGGGCTCTTTTCCATCCTCCAATAACGTGATCACATATGGCTTAGTTATGGAAAGACCTGCTTACAGGAAGAACATAGAATTGCTTAAGCTGCCGTCCCCTCTTATGAGAGGCCATCACAAGAGGTACCACAGGAAGGGATGGAGGGTGGTCACTGACATGGAAAGATAAGCTTCAGGCAGGGCACAACAGAGCTACACATTTCCCTGGGAACATGGTACAGAAATCCAGCCATTTACTTAGGAGGATCTCCAGTAATTCAGAGTGACAAAAGGAAGGTGTCCCCTATTGGAGTGGAAGGGGTGATATCCTTACCTAGAGAGACCAGGTTCTCATAATTCTGGACCATCACATCCTTGTATAAGTCCCTCTGAGCAGAATCTAGCCATCCCCACTCTTCGTGAGAGAAGTCTAAAGCCACATCACTAAATGTCACCTGAAATAGCAAATATATTTAGATTCAACCATAGGTCAGGCCTCTTCTGTCACTGTGCATGGGGTAAAATTAGCCTGCTAATGGAAGAAATGGAACAAGATTCAGGAGTTGTGACAAGGATTGGGAATGAGACCTCACTTAAGTAATAATAGGAAAGTTATGTTGTTGGAACTATTATGCAATAAAGGGGACGGTTATATGCTTAGATTTATTAGACAATAAGAGACAAACATGAGAGCTTTGCTTCAGTAGAGTTAATTTTGTTAAAAGTTATACAATTATATGAATTTTTAAAAATCAGCATTTAACATTTGACAGCGCAGAGTCAAATATATACTAATATCTTTAATAGCTTAAGTGCTAGGTAAGTAATTAAAACATTAGGCTGAAGTGATTGTCTCTCAAATGGGATACTAAGGATGATTCATGAAGGCTCCCAAAAAAATGGGTTCAGATAAAAGATATCTTTATATTAAAGACTGATAGACATAAACTGATATGGTTTGATTATGTCCCCCCAAAATAGCATGTATTGAACTTAATCACTGTTCTAACAGTATTGAAAGGTGAGACCTTTAGGAGACACTTAGGCCTTGATGGCTCTGCCCTCACGAATGGATTAACCTCATCATCGGGGGAGAGGGTTCCCTATTTTAAAAATTGAGTTCGCGCCGGGCGCAGTGGCTCAAGCCTGTAATCCCAGCACTTTGGGAGGCCGAGGCGGGTGGATCACGAGGTCGAGAGATCGAGACCATCCTGGTCAACATGGTGAAACCCCGTCTCTACTAAAAAAGTGCAAAAAATTAGCTGGGCATGGTGGCGCGTGCCTGTAATCCCAGCTACTCTGGAGGCTGAGGCAGGAGAACTGCCTGAACCCAGGAGGCGAAGGTTGCGGTGAGCCGAGATCGCGCCATTGCACTCCAGCCTGGGTAACAAGGGCGAAACTCCGTCTCAAAAAAAAAAAAAAAAAGAAAAAAAAAAATTGAGTTCAAGTCTCCTTTTGCCTCTCTGTCTTCTCTTTGCCCCTCCACCATAAAGGGACACAGCAGGAAGGCCCTTGCCAGATGCCTGCCCCTTGACCTTGGACTTCCCAGGCTCTAAAACCATGAGAAGTCAATTTCTATTGTTTATAAACTACTCTGTCTGGGGTATTCTGTTAAAGCAGCACAAAAAGACTAAAACATACACATAACTGATTCATAAAAATATATATATTTATGGTGTATAAACTTTATACTGATAGACATATAATAATTAAAATATGAGACTCCAGGGTGAAAGACTGAAGGATGGTTTCATGTCATAGATCAGAGGGGTCTCTAACCCCTAAGCCATGGAATGGTACTAACTCTGTGGTGTTAGGAACCTGGCCACACAGCAGAAGGTGAGTGGCAGGCAAGTGAGCATTACCACTTGAGCTCGGCCTTCTGTCAGATCAGCTGTGGCATAGATTCTTACAGGAGCTTGGTCCCTACTGTGAACTGTGCATGCAAGGGATGGAGGTTGCACACTCCTTATGAGAATCTAACTAATGCCTGAGGATCTGAGTTGGAACAGTTTCGTCCCCAAACCACCACCTCCACCACCTCCCACTTCCGTGGAAAAACTGTCTTCCATGAAACCCATCTCCGGTGTCAGAAAGGTTGGGGACCCCTGCCATAGACAGTCCTTACATAGGACCTGGAAGTAATGGAAAAAAATAAAAGGGTACATTTCAAAGAAAAAAAATTTTTTTTTTTTTTTTTTTTGAGACGGAGTTTCGCTCTTGTTACCCAGGCTGGAGTGCAATGGAGTGATCTCGGCTCACCGCAACCTCCGCCTCCTGGGTTCAAGCAATTCTCCTGCCTCAGCCTCCTGAGTAGCTGGGATTACAGGCACGCGCCACCATGCCCAGCTAATGTTTTGTATTTTTAGTAGAGACGGGGTTTCACCATGTTGACCAGGATGGTCTCGATCTCTTGACCTCGTGATCCACCCGCCTCGGCCTCCCAAAGTGCTGGGATTACAGGCTTGAGCCACCGCACCTGGCCTTTTTTTTTTTTTTTTTTTGAGACGGAGTTTCGCTCTTGTTACCCAGGCTGGAGTGCAATGGCGCGATCTCGGCTCACTGCAACCTCCGCCTCCTGGGCTCAGGCAATTCTCCTGCCTCAGCCTCCTAAGTAGCTGGGATTACAGGCACGCGCCACCACGCCCAGCTAGTTTTTTTATATTTTTAGTAGAGACGGGGTTTCACCATGTTGACCAGGATGGTCTCAGTCTTTCGACCTCGTGATCCACCCGCCTCGGCCTCCCAAAGTGCTGGGATTACAGGCTTGAGCCACCGCGCCCGGCCTTTTTTTTTTTTTTTTTAAAGAGACAAGGTCTTGCTCCATTGCCAGGCTGGCGACATAATCATACAGTGACATAATCATAGCCCACTGCAGCTTCACACCACTGGGCTCAAGAAATCTTCCCACCTCATCAGCCTCCCTACTAGCTGGGACAACAGGCATGCACATGTCTCCCAGCCTAATGAGTGGCACAGGCCGTGGAAAACTGCAAAGCAGTGATGGAGGAGTGGAAGTGCTGGGTGGGGGAAGGTGACTGCAAGTGCAAACAGGCGTTCAGGGAAGCTTCTGAGAATTAACCACCGAGCAAACACACGAAGGAGATAAGAATGCAAGCTTGTGCATATGTGGGTGAAGAATATTCCACGTGGATGGCACAGCAACTGGTGATGGTGGCTGGAGCTCACAGGGATGAGAAGGCTGAGAAAGGAAAGTGGGATCAGAGAGGTAACAGCCTAATTATACAAAGAGGTCACGGCAGAACCGACTTTGAGTTAGTTGCTGAAAAATTTTAGGTTGAGGAATGACAAGAATTTACATAACAATAGGATCACGGTGACAGCTCTACTGAGCACAGACTGATGAGGGTTAAGGACAGACGCAGGGAATCCAGTTAGGAGGTTCCTGTGATAATGCAGGTGGCTTGGATCAGGGTGGCAGTGGTGGTGATGCGATAACTAATGGTCAGATGCTGTATACCATGCATAATTTAGATCCAACTAGAGGACCTGCGTAAGTTGTAAGTCAAAGGGAAAAAAATCAAGGATGACTCCAAACATCTCTTCACTTGAGACCACAAAGTACAGTTTTGACAACCATAAAGCAAATAACATTAAAATTCAAACTTGTTTTGTGAATTACAGTTTAAAAATTTTGGCAAGACTGAAAAGTCTTCTAGTAGAAAATGGTAGAAAAGAGGAACACTGGGTGAGGAGGACAATACCTTGGAGCTCTCCCATGGGCCCCATCCCTCCTATATTGAAAGGAACCATAGATCCAGTCCCTTAAATGGACTTGATTAGGGGGAAGCAGGCAGAAGAAGCAAAGCAAACTCACAGAGGCCTAATAAAGTGTTCAGGGAGATTTAGTGACACACCGACTTACCTGAGACATTTCTCCGCAATTTCCAACAGCCAGCAGAGTCCTCTTTCCAGGCTCTTAGAGATAGGCAGTGTCCTAAGGGCACAGAAGGGCAGGAAAAAGCAGTCAGGAAAAATCAGGCTTATCTTCCAGCATCTGTGACACACCATAATGGAAAGGCACACTGGTAGTCACTCTCTGGGAAATAACAGGGTGTTTCTCGGCAAGGTTTAACCATTTTCCAGGTGCCACCTCTGGGGAAAGTCAATTCAATTTTTCTGTCCATAAAACACTCATAAACAATAGTAATAACTTTATCAGCTCATTCAATCTTCACCATTATGCGCGATGGGTATTCACGTTATTCCAGATTTTTTTATTTTTCTTCTTTTGAGATGGGAGTCTCGTTCTGCCGCCCGGGCTGGAGTGCAATGGCGCAATCTCAGCTCACTGCAACCTCTAGCTCCGGGGTTCAAGCGATTCTCCTGCCTCAGCCTCCTGAATAGCTGAAATTACAGACGTGCACCACCACTCCCAGCTAATTTTTTTTTTTCATTTTTAGTAGAGACAGGGTTTCACCATGTTGGTCAGGCCGGTGTGGCAGCTCACACCTGTCATCCCAGCACTTTGGGAGGTAGAGGCCGGCAGATCGCTTAAGGTCAGGAGTTCAAAGCCAGATTTATTTATTTTTATTTATTTATTTAGAGACAGGTTTTCACCATGTTACCCAGGTTGGTCTTTAACTACTGACTTCAGGTGATCCGCCCGCCTCGGCCTCCCAAAGTGCTGGGATTACAAGCGTGAGCTACCACGCCCGGCCCAGATTTGTTTTTAAAACGAAGACAAAACTGAAATTCCGAGATACTGAACCCATTTTTTCAAGGTTACACAACTGCAAAACGCCGGCTTCATGACTACGTTACCCCAAAACAGCGGTGGCTGGCGTCTGCTCCCGCGCCCACTTTCCACTCACAACAGCGCCAAGAGGTCGGCGCCGTCATCACCCGCGTTTACACAGCAGGACGCGAAGCCCAGGAACAGCCAAGACCCCAGCCGGGGTCACACCGCGGGCCGACCCAGGGTCGGAGCCCTGCCGCCGCCCCGAGGACCACACTTGTCCGAGTCCTCACCGTCCACACAGGCGCACCGAGTCCGCACTTCCGCGGACCTGACGCGCTGCGTCGCTGGTGAGCCGGCAACGTTCCCGACCTCCCGGAACGACACTGCCCAGAACTATTTCTGAGCCTGGGAGCCGCCCCCAGGCCTGAGGCTACCGCAGGACCGACCCACTGCAGTGCCCACGCCCAAGCGACAATTCCCAGGATCCTCCGCGCTCGGGACAAAGGTCCCCGGCTCCGCGAACCGCCGGCACCAGAACACTACACTTCCCACTAGCCTCTGCGGCCGGTCGTAAGAAAACCCTGGGGCCAGGCGCGGTGGCTCACGCCTATAATCCCAACACTTTGGGAGACCGAGGCGGGTGGATCATGAGGTCAAAAGATCGAGACCATCCAGGTCAACATGGTGAAACCCCGTCTCTACTAAAAATACAAAAAATTAGCTGGGCGTGGTGGCGCGTGCCTGTAATCCCAGCTACTCAGGAGGCTGAGGCAGGAGAATTGCCTGAACTCAGGAGGCGCAAGTTGCGATGAGCCGAGATCGCGTCATTGCACTCCAGCCTGGGTAACAAGAGCGAAGCTCCGTCTCAAAAAAAAAAAAAGAAAGAAAGAAAAGAAAGCAAAGAAACAAAAGAATGGCTACTCCATAGGCAGAGGAACAGCTTGGACTGCTAGTGGTTATTTCTTGATCATCTGCTAAACAAGGGGTGGATTATTCACGAGTTTTCTGGGAAAGGGTTGGGCAATTCCCGGAGCTGAGGGTTTCCCTACTTTTTAGACCATACAGGGTAACTTCCGAACCTTACCATGGCATTTGTAAACTGTAATGACACTGGTAGGAGCTCTCTTAGCGTGCTAATGCATTATAATTATCGTATAATGAGCAGTAAGGACAACCAGAGGTCACTCTCCTCACTATCTTGGTTTTGGTGCATTTTGGCTGGCTAATTTACTGCAAAACCTGTTTTATCAGCAGGCCTTAATGACCTGCATCTTGTGCTGACCTTCTGTGTCATCCTGTGACTTAGAATACCTTAACTGTTTGGGAATGCAGCCCAGTAGGTCTCAGCCTTATTTTACCCAGCCCCTATTCTAGATGGAATCGCTCTGGTTTAACACCTCTAACACTTTTACCTTGGTGTATCCTGTGGGTGCGGTGCTGAGTTCCTATAGCAGTCATAGTTTTAAAAAAACATTGTAGCATCAGCTGGCTTCCTCTCAAGGCCTAGAGTTCCTAATAAGGAAAGACTGGATTGTAAAAAGCATATTCCCATCTATGACTTTATTGTACAACGTCAAATTGTTTTCAAAGTTGTACCAATTTTCAGTACTACCAGTTAATGGTTATTTTGGTTGCCAACTTCTAGTGCCAGCAGTTGATTTGTGAAACTTTAACACTTTGTTTATCTACTAGGTGTGAAATCATAACTCACTGCGGCTTAAAGTTGCACTGTTTAATTGTTAATGAGATTGAGAATGGTCTCGAATGTCTGTTGGCCTTAGTATTTCTTTCTCTGAGAATTGCAGGTCCTTTGCTCAATGTTCCCCTCTCTCTCTGTCTCTCTCTTTCTCTCTCTCTCTATATATATACATATACACATATATATATATACACATATATATACATATATATATATATGTATATATTTTAGACAGAGTTTCGTTCTTGTTGCCCAGGCTGGAGTGCAATGGCATGATCTCGGCCCACTGCAACCTCCACCTCCCCAGTTCAAGCAATTCTTCTGCCTCAGCCTACCGAGTAGCTGGGATTACAGGAATGCACCACCACGCCCAGCTAATTTTGTAGTTTTAGTAGAGATGGGGTTTCACCACGTTGATCAGGCTGGTCTTGAACTTTCAACCTGAGGTGATCTGCCTGCTTTGGCCTCCCAAAGTGCTGGAATTACAAGCATGAGCCACCGCGCCCAGCTTGCTCAATGTTCTTTTGGAACGATGACCTTTTTAATATTAAAATGCAAAAGGCAGAGGAAAAAATGAGATTTTTAAGGAGGGAGTGCAGTGACTAGGATATTAAAATTGTTTCCCACTTAGAATCCTGGACTTTCAACTGAAATAGTAACAATGTGTTTTCTGCAGTTTGGTGTAATGTTTCTGGTTATGAAATTCTTAAATTCTTTCCTGCTTGGGATTTGCTTAACAACTTGAATGTGCGAAGCGCCATCTTCAGTGCTCAGCAAACTCTTCCTCTCATATATCGCCTCTTCCCCATTCTTTCCCTCCCTTGAGAACTCCAATTCATTTTAAGGCAGTAACGTATTACCATTCACTATCCTCCAGGAGTCTTAGATTCTCTGTAACTTCTATCCTTCAATCTCTGTGTTGCAGTCTGGATAATTTATTTCAATCGACTGACTATTCATAATTCTCTCTCCAGGACATTTTAATTTCAGTTTTTCAAAGACATTTTTAACATGGTAGGCATAGTTGCTTCATAATAAGTATCTGATAATAACAATAACTGAAGATTTTATTGGCCCCTTGGAAAGTTTATTTTTAAATTCTTCAATCAGTTTGCTTTGCTTCCTCTTCTGTTGGTTATCTTTGTCTTTCCTTGAAAAGAGATTTCATGGAGCTTCCCCATATCCTTAGATGAAGGTGCCTTTCTCTTCTAGAGATTATGCCATTTTATTATCAGACAAGACCAGGATCCCTACCACTCTGGAACCACTTTAAACCACACTTAAGACTTATGTCCCTGCTCAGTCCATCCAGAAAAGCTTACATAGAGACTCTTCATTATTGCTGCTTTTCCTCATGAGCTCCCTGGAAGAATTATGGTGGCTTCCCATTGTGAGTCCTCAGATATTTGTAATATGAGTTAAGTTCATGAGTGGAGAGAGGGCCAACATTAGAGGACTAGATGTGACTCAGGGCAGAGGTGAGAAGAACTTTAAATGGAGGGTAGACCTTTTGTTTCAATAGCTATGTCTGGCCATCTCGTAAAAAGCATTACTGTGAAGATAAACCCCTAATTTGTGGGTGCTCCATCATTAGGGAAGCAGGAGCCTAGGAGAGCTAGAGAATGCCATTTTAAGTACAGCACCAGGCCGGGCGCAGTGGCTCAAGCCTGTAATCCCAGCACTTTGGGAGGCCGAGGCGGGTGGATCACAAGGTCAAGAGATCGAGACCATCCTGGTCAACATGGTGAAACCCCGTCTCTACTAAAAATGCAAAACATTAGCTGGGCGTGGTGGCGCGTGCCTGTAATCCCAGCTACCTGGGAGGCTGAGGCAGGAGAATTGCCTGAACCTGGGAGGCGGAAGTTGCGGTGAGCCGAGATCGTGCCATTGCACTCCAGCCTGGGTAACAAGAGTGAAACTCCGTCTCCAAAAAAAAAAAAAAGTACAGCTCCATTCTGAGACTAGCAGAGTACATTCCTTGCCGGTCATAAGCTGTAGTCATGAGGTGTTTACAGTTGAGGAAACAGTCTGAAGATAGATACAGGGACACTCCTACAACAGTGGGGAGTCCAGATGTCCCAATACCCATAATAATGTATGCTTTCAAGATAATAGTTATGCTTTGATGTGCTTGACACTAGAATGTCGAGACTAGTTTAAATCAAGACAGTAATAAATTTTGGCATTCTGCCTGCTCATCCACACATAGACACAGCTTAGCTTAGTTTGTTCATAGGTAAGACTCCTGTATAAGAAAAACTTAAAGCCAGTACGTTCCTCCTCTTGCTTTCTGAGGGCCTCCTGCTCTCTAATGGTGTAGCGTCTAAGAAACTTGATTCTTTCACTGCACTCTGTGACTCACCTTAAATTCCTTCCTGAACAAGATCCAAGAACCCTCTCTTGGGGTCTGGATCAAGACTCCTTTTACAGTAACACCATACCTTGCATTGTTAGCAGAAAGGACAGAGGCACCGGAATAGAGACCAAGGAGGAGAAATCAGGCGCGTGAGGTAGAGAAAATCACCGGCGTAAAGAAGACTGTTTTAAACAAATATTATGCTAGACAACTGAGAAAGCAAATGAGGCAGAGAGAGAGAAAGAGAGCAATAAGGAGAAATGAAAACACATTACATGCAATTCTGAACCTACTCCCTTCCACTAGCTCTTAGCTGCCTTCTGTCCCTTTCCTATTTAATATAATGCAATGTTTACAATCAGTGATGTTTGCTGTTGGGATCTATCTAGTCGAGGGCACCTTTTAGAATATGTAATTGGGAGAAGAAAAGGCGGTTTGCGTTGATGCTGAAGCTGTTTAAGATTCAGGGCGCTATGATCTGAATGTCTGTCCCCTGCCTCCGCCACTGAATCATATGTGGAAACCAAATCCCCAATGTGACAATATCAAGAGGTGAGACCTTTGAGGAGATATTAAGTCATGAGGCTGGAGTTCTCATGAATGGATTGGTGCCCGTATAAAAGAGGCCCAAGCTTGTTTGCTCAGAAGGTGGACAGTGTAGCGGCAGGGTTTCAGGATGAGAGGAGCCTCTCTGCTAGCAATGTTGCGCGGAACCAGCAAGGGCTGCCCACGTCCCGGAGGGAAACGTTTGTGTGAGCGCACAAATCACCCGGAAGACCTTGGCGCGGCTGCAGAGTTTTCTGGGAAGTGTAGTTTCTTGGTCCTTACAAGTAGCGGGTGTCCCTGGGTTCGGAGGCGTATCGGTCAACAGAGGACGACTGTGTGTGCTCAGGACACTTCGCGAGTGGTCCTAGCTGGCAGTCTCTGGGTCGACAGCCCGAGGCAGTTTAGTTTCTTTTTTTTTTTTTTTTCTTTTTTTGAGACAGTTTCGCTCTTGTTACCCAGGCTGGAGTGCAATGGTGCGATCTCGGCTCACCGCAACCTCCGCCTCCTGGGTTCAGTCAATTCTCCTGCCTCAGGCTCCTGAGTAGCTGGGATTACAGGGACGTGCCACCATGCCCAGCTAATTTTTTGTATTTTTAGTAGAGACGGGGTTTCACTAATGTTGACCGGGATGGTCTCGATCTCTTGACCTCGTGATCCACCCGTCTCGGCCTCCCAAAGTGCTGGGATTACAGGCTTGAGCCACCGCGCCCGGCCCAGTTTAGTTTCTTACGAAGCCAAGACCGGTTTGCCCGCGGCGCGCCAAGATTGCGCTACCGCAGAGACTCTTGGGAAGTGTGGTCTTCCGGTGTCGGCTGTTCCCGGCACCCGGGAGTTTTGTCTGGCACGCGGAGGATTC